GACTCTAGGCTAACGTACTAGTGAAATACCCACAGTACCACCTTTTGCCTCTCCAGGCTTTGCAACCAAAGGGCTGGGCACACCAAGCTTGCAGAACTGAATTAAATCAGAGAACCATCTTGCCGCTTACATGAATTTCCCAGGTAGCAAAGTTTTAAGCCCCTCAAGCTTCTCTTAAGATGCCTTTGGCTGGACACAGTAGCTCACACCTGTAATCTCAGTAGTTTGGGAGGCCGAGGTGGGTGGATCACTTGAGGCCAGGAGTTTGAGACCAACCTGGCCAACATGGTGAGATGCCATCTCTACTAAAAATACAAAAATTAGCCTAGCCTGGTGACACACGCCTGTAATCCCAGCTACTCAGGAGGCTGAGGCAGGAGAATCACTTGAACCCAGGAGGCGGAGGCTGCAGTGAGCAGAGATGGCACCACTGTACTCCAGCCTGGGTGACAGAACAAGACTATGTCTCCAAAAAAAAATGTTTGTGATGAAGTGCTCATTAAAATGAATAATGCATTCTTCACATAATACGCTGACCTCAATTTAACTTCTACTGGATGGTTTGGGGTCACCAGGCTCACTTATCATGTCACTGTCCAAAAGCACAGGGATGCCCATGGTGTGGCGTGTGGCATTGGATGTCCCCACGCCCAGGGGCTCAGGCCTCGATGCCGTGCTTGTGCTCAGTGTCATTTCTGTGTCCTCCCTAGTTGTCAGTGGTCACCTCTTGCTGCTCATCACTCCATAGTCTCTACCACAACTTCAAATCTGCTATGAACCGAAAAACCTGTTAGAACTGTGTGCAAAGCAAGAATAAACAGGACCTGACTGAAAACTCTTGAAGCTCTCCTTTAAACAGGGTGCATGGGAGTGGGCTCATCCAGCCTGGGGCTCAGGGAAGATTTTCCCATCCTTCTAGGCTCCAGCTGTGCCCTACAAAGTCAGAGCTGCCCTACTAGAAGCTCAGAGAGCAGCGGAGCCCGACACTCACGTGGTGATGAGGAGCTAAGTCCCGGGGCGGGGCGGCGGTGCTGAACACACGGAAAGCGGCTGCTCTGCAGCTCCACCATGAAGCCCAGCAGCGCTCAGCAAAGCCAGAGCCGGGGGAGAGGCTTTTGAAAGCTCCGTGATATCTTGTGGCTCCAAACATGTTCCCCTCAGCTTCAATCTCTTTCACTTAGGAAAACAGAGCTCTCAAGGGAGCCTTTGCAAGAAAAAAACCGGGGCTAGTGCTGAGCACACATTTTGACAGTTACAGCAAGGACCTGGAGAGAGAGTTTTCAAAGCAAAATGGAACCCAGGGGCCCTTCACCTGGAGACTCACTGTGAAATCGGCTCTGATTCCAAATACCTTGTTTTCACCCAGTTATGCCTTAGGAGGAAAGGTCGTGGCTCTTTCTCTCTATCCAATTAAAACACCTTTTTTTTTTTTTTTTTTTTTTGAGATGGAGTCTCACTTCGTTGCCCAGGCTGGAGTGCAGTGGCACTAACTCGGCTCAGTGCAGCCTCAGCCTCCCAGGCTCAAGCAATTCTCCTGCCTCAGCCTCCTGAGTAGCTGGGATTAGCTGGGATTACAGGCGCCCAACACCACGCCTGGCTAATTTTTGTATTTTTAGCAGAGAGGGGGTTTCGCCATGTTGTCCAGGCTGGTCTGGAACTCCTGACCGGAGATGATCCACCCGCCTTGGGTTCCCAAAGTGCTGGGATTACAGGCATGAGCGACTGAGCCCAGCCTTCCAAGAAAAGGTTTTTAACAACGGAGTATAACAGTATTTGCTTTACATTCAACAGTTTGGACTGCACATCTGTTTGGTGTGCATAAACACATACATTATTATTACATTTATTAGGCCACATCTGTTAGGGGCATGTGCATATGTGTATTTATAGAAAAAAAGATGGAAAGTCTACAGATCAAATGCTATTTGGTGGTTATCTCCAAGTGTGCAATCATGCAATAAAGAAATGATTTCTTCTTTATATTTTTGTTTTTCAAGTTTTTTTTCTTGAGCATGTGTGATGCTTACAGTTGGATAAAAATTATTGGTAAAAATTTTTCTGAGGCTGGGCATGGTGGCTCTTGCCTGTGATCCCAACACTTTGGGAGGCCGAGGCTGGAGAATTGCCTGAGCTCAGGAGTTCAAGAACAGCCTGGGCAACATAACGAGAGCTCATCTCTACAAAAAAAATACAAAAATTAGCTGGGAATGGTGGTGCACACCTGTGGTCCCAGCTACTTGGGAGGCTGAGGTGGGAGGATCACTTGAGCCTGGGAGGCCAAGGTTGCAGTGAGCCGTGTTCATGCCACTGTGCTCCAACCTGGGCAACAGAGGGACATCCTGTCTCAAAAATAAATAAATAAATAAATAAATAAAATTCTTTGTCATTAAAAAAAGAAAAAAAGAAAACCAATCAGCCTCTGTCCCCTGTGTTTCTTCCTTTCTGTGCTGGCTAAGCCTCCCGCTGAATGAGTCGAAGGGGCATGCCTAGTCCAGCTCCGTTCTGAGCTGTTGGGCAGGCGAGCTGGATCTCTCAGAGCCTGCAGTGCTACCGCCTGGAGTCAGAACTCTCCCATTCCTCATCCTACCTTGGCTCCCGCAGTCCTGGGAAGTCGGATGACCTGCATTCACAAAGCCTTTCCAATCCCTCCGCTCCAGGGGCCTCTCCGAACTTTGAGAAACATCAGGAGGCTGCCCAGGAGCCTGGCAGAACAACACAGACCACGGGGGTCACAGGGGAGCATGGTCTTTGAAGGCAGATGGACTAGAAGGAATCTGGCTTCCAGCACTTTCTGCTCCCTGCATGACTTAATGGTAACAAACCACTTAATCTCCCTGAACCTTGCTTTTCTCATCAGCAAAATGAGAATAATAATACTCACTGGAGATAAAATGAGACAGTACACACCAAGTATGGCATCAGGCTCAAATGGGCAGTCCTAAATGGTAGTTAGGGCCAGGCGTGGTGGCTCACGCCTATAATCCCAGCACTTTGGGAGGCTGAGGCAGGTGGATCACTTGAGGCCAGGAGTTCGGGACCAGCCTAGTCAACATGGTGAAACCCCATCCTTACTAAAAATAAAAAAAATTAGCCAGGCGTGGTGGTATAGGCCTATAATCCCAGCTGGTAGGGAGGCTGAGGCAGGAGAACTCAGGAGGCGGATGTGGCAGTGAGTGAGATGGAGCCACTGCACTCCAGCCTGGGCCACAGAGTGAGACTTCATCTCAAAAACAAAACAAAACAAAAAAAACAACAAAACCCAGAAAGTCCAGGTGCAGTGGCTCACACTGGTAATCCCAGTACTTTGGGAGGCTGAGGTGGGTGGATCACTTGAGGTCAGGAGTTCGAGACCAGCCTGGTCAACACGGTGAAACCCTGTCCCTATTAAAAATATAAAAATTAGGCCGGGTGCGGTGGCTCAAGCCTGTAATCCCAGCACTTTGGGAGGCCGAGACGGGCGGATCACGAGGTCAGGAGATCAAGACCATCCTGTCTAACACGGTGAAACCCCGTCTCTACTAAAAAAATACAAAAAAAAAACTAGCCGGGCGAGGTGGCAGGCGCCTGTAGTAAACCCGGGAGGCGGAGCTTGCAGTGAGCTGAGATCCGGCCACTGTACTCCAGCCTGGGCGACAGAGCGAGACTCTGTCTCAAAAAAAAAAAAAAAAAAAAAATATATATATATATATATATATAAAAATTAGCCGGGCATGGTGGCAGGCACCTGTAATTCCAGCTACTCAGGAGGCTGAGGCAAGAGAATTGCCTGAACCTGGGAGGCGGAGATTGCAGTGAACCAAGATCGAGCCATCGCACTCCATCCTGGGAGACAGAGTAAGACTCAGTCTTTAAAAAAAAAAAAAAATGCCGGGTGCGGTGGCTCACGCTTGTAATCCCAGCACTTTGGGAGGCCAAGGTGGGCGGATCATGAGGTCAGGAGATCGAGACCATCCTGGCTAACACGGTGAAACCCCGTCTCTACTAAAAATTCCAAAAAATTAGCTGGGTGCGGTGGCGGGCGCCTGTAGTCCCAGCTACTCGGTAGGCTGAGGCAGGAGAATGGCATGAATCCGGGAGGCGGAGCTTGCAGTGAGCAGAGATTGTGCCACTGCACTCCAGCCTGGGCGACAGAGTGAGACTTTGTATCCAAAAAAAAGAACAAAAACAAAACCAAAAATGAAATGGTACTTAGTGTTGTCATTATTGAGAACACCGAGAGCACAGTGGTCTGTACAGGTTCTCAACCCTGGCTGCACTTTAGAGTGTCTTAGGGAGCTTTGAAAAGATTCTGAGGACCAGGGTGGGGTCGATATCCCCATATGGCTACAGTCACAAAAACTGCCTTTTCACCATACATTCCACTCCCTTTGCCACCGCAAATCAACGCCCATGGAAATCCTTCCTACTGGTTCAAAGTCACCACTTCCAGGAGGCCCGCTGCAAGTCTCCTTTAGTAGCCAAATGTGAATCAGAATTCACATAGAATATGCTGCCCAATGCTAACCTTTTCATTATGACTTGGGCTACATGACGAACTATTAATAGCTTACAGTATGGGGCCACTAAAAGTATGTGGCAGTGTCTGGATATTTGCACAGAAACAGCCTGTTTCTCCTGCCACTTTGAGTTCTCCTGCCTGCTTTCTGGAGTTTTCCATCTATTCTTACCTTCAGCAATTATAGGTTGCTTTCTCAGTACAGGCTCCTCAAATAGCTCCAGCCCCCGCTCTAATCTGGATCGAGAAGGCAGATAAACCTGCCGGTCCAAACTGTGTGTAGACCAAGAGTAAACAGGCCTGGGGAGACTCCTGTGGGGCAAATCTCGAGCTTAGGATTCCAGTCCCCGCTGTCCCCAACCATGGCCCCTCAGTGTACCTCGGTCTGCCCGGCCGGATGAGACGGTTTCCTGGGAGTCTAATGTTGGGTGTTTTACTAAATTCTTCCAGGCCTGGAATTAATGTAGGTTTTCAAATCAAGGCGCAGGCAGGGAAGTCAGGTTACCTGGTCCTGGAGTTTCTGGAACATCAGAGGGTGAGGTTCTTCCAGGATCTTCTCGTTGAGCCGAGACTGCCCCTCCACGTTGACCTGTGATGAGGCCTTGCTGGACAGAAAGGTCATGTAGATCTCCTTTGCCTTTTCCTGCATCTGGAGGAGACAGATGGGGCCTGTGTGCTATCTGCACACACAGCCTTCCCAGCCTGAGCCCTGCTCTCCCCTCCAGCCAGCCCCACAGGAGCTGCTGTGGCAAGAGAAAGGCACCCCCCACAGCCCAGCGGCTCTCAGGCCACTCCAGAGAGAATTTCTATATGGGAGAACTTGCACTGCCAAGCCCCTACCCCGCAGCCACATCTCCTGGAACAAAATTGCTGCATTAACCATCCAGAAGCCATGACAGAAAGAATCCTGGCCCGCAGAGAGCACTCAGTACCATTTACAACCATCCTGTGGCCGGGCACAGTGGCTCATGCCTGTAATCACAGCACTTTGGGAAGCCAAGGCAGGTGGATCACCTGAGGTCAGGAGTTCGAGACCAGCCTGGCTAACATGGTGAAACCCCATCTCTACTAAAAACACAAAAATTAGCCAGGCATGGTGGTGCACACCTGTAATCCCAGCTACTCGGGAGGCTGAGGCAGGAGAATAGCTTGAACCCAGGAGACAGAGGTTGCAGTGAGCTGAGATTGCACCACTGAACTCCAGCCTGGGTGACAGAGTGAGACTCCATCTCAAAAAAATAAAAATCAAGTGAAAGTATGCACGCCTATCCCTACCAGTTTTCCAGTGCCCACTAGGCCGCAGACACCTGCTTGGAGGCATCCCATTTCCTTAATCCCCTGGACATGCAGCAAAGGGCATTTTCCTGTTAGTGCCACTTTCCCCATGAGGACACAGAGGTCAGGAGAGGTGGTGTGGCTTATCTGAGAGCTTCTGGGAGCCTTAGGACTGTTTGGCTCCAAGGCCTCTGAATTCTGCTCAGTTCCACTTCTGCAAGACACATCGGCCCCTCCAGGTTGTGCGGTCTGCGGCCTTTCCAGGCAGGGTGATTTCCTTTTAGGTAACGAGATACTGAGCACAGGCAGTGGAGAAAACACTCGCTGCCCGCCCTCAAGTCCCGAGTGCAGTCCTGCTGGGAAGCAGGAGCCCCGATAGGTACCGGCTTCCTGTTTCACCCGAAACTAACCGAGGCGGGCTCAGGAGCACTCATGGATGGTAAGGAGATGACTTCACAGTAAGAACTGTGTCTTCAGGACAGCACGCCTCAGGGCGAGGCTGCAGACGCAGGAACCTTCTCCAGAACCTCCCCTGAGGGCTCGATTTTCTTTTAGAGAAAGGAGACTTCCTGTGCTCATACCTTGCCAACAGCAAAAACGGGGCTGTTTCTCTGAACATTAGACTCTAAAGCATGACCTTACCCTACAGAGCAAGGCAGACAACAAATGCCTCTAAAATGCAGTCACACAGCTACAACGTATGTGTGCAGGGGTGCCTGGAAAACTGCCTTTCTCTCCAAGAGCCTACCTGGGGCTCCATATGTGCTGTGGCGCTTGGTTTGGGAAATCCCAAGCTCTGCAAACCTTCTGCCCTTAAGGAAACCACCAGAAGGTTTTGATAGCTGGTGCATGAAAGGAAGGAAGAGGATCCCTTTTTCAGTTCAGGGCACTGAGGACAAAAGATCCTGAGAAGCCGCAGCCTGGCTGTGTCCTGTTCTGCGAGAAAGCAAGCCTCGCCAGCACTTGCAGGGAAATGACCCAGGCTGGGTGAACACCGAAAGCCATGCTGTCCACCCTGCCTTTACTGTCAATAGGAGCAATGAATTGATGCCAGACTCAGTGACACAGGAGTTGCTCCAGACAAGCGTGGCTATCTAAGGGACAGGTCTGGGGGCCATCCTCGAGACCCAAGGGGGTGGCACTTAGGAGCTGGCCCTGCTGTCCTCTCTAAGACCCACCAGCTCCATGAAGCCACAGCCTCCCTCCCACCACCCCCATTCCGTCAGGAAGCGACGCTTTTGGAAAACCACTTCCTGTGTTAAAGCCACTTCATGAAAGCAGAATTTCAGCCAGGCAGATGAGCAAACTCCATGCAGAGGTCTGGGGGTAGAAATCACTTTAGACCTCCCCTCCGCTTGAACATTCATATGCACACACACGTACACACGTGCACACACGCACACACATAAACACATGAATCCAGGATATCTTGAGTGATTCTGAAATAGAAAAGTGCAATGAATGGCTTGAGTCTTTGAGGTCGGGCAGAAGGGGCCGGGGGAAAGGAAGTAGGTTACGGTGACTGCAGGTAGATAAGCCTTGAGGATCTCAGCCCTGCCCTCTCCCACCGGCTGTCCCTCCCAAGTCTGTGTGAGAACAGTGTCGGGGTCCAGGCCCTGGCTGACCAGCTTCAGACCGTAAGCGGCTGCAGGGCTCAGCTTATCTCGCCGGAGCTAGGAAGTGTGACTGAAAAGGGAAACCCTGAGACGGCGACCACAAGCCAGTCACGGGAAGGCCTGGTGTCCAGACCGAGAACAGGAGCAGAAAAGAAGAACCAGTCTCTGGAGCTATTTTGGTAGATTTTTCCAGAGCTTTGTTAACCCTATTCTAGCTACTGTCAGGGCAGGAACAGAGCTGGTGGAGTTGATTCTGTGTCTGTGGCCTGGAAGGATGGCTGACTTCTCTTCCACGGCCCTGACACACGTGGCTGGCCACAGCCTGGACCAGAGAGCCCCTTTCTCCCTGGGGAGACCCAAAGTGTCCAGCATCTGAGGCTGTCCTGGCAGGCACTGGAGAAGGGTCCCACCTGGGCCCATCCACTCGGGGACTGCCCATGAAGCACCTGCACCCCAGTGAGCACCTTCCAGGCACCCCACAAGGCTGGGGCCCTTCTTCGAGGCCTGGCAGTGCCTCAGCTGTGACAATGCTCAGCCAGACACCAGCTCTCGAACCCCACTCCCATCCCATCTGCTGGCCTCCAGCTCCCCTCCACCCCGTCTTCTTCCAGAGATGGAATGTGGGAGATAATTCCTAGGAAAATGAAAGGATCAAGACACTGACTTTACTAATATCAATTTCAGAAAGAGAAAGAGGCAAAGAAAATATCCAATAAATGATACGAGAATATTTTCAAGAACTGGCTCAGGAAACGGGAAGCAGTTGGAGGAACAGCAGATGACTCGGCAGAGACCCAGAAGAATGAACCCAAGCCCCTGCACGGCTGAGGAGGGGGTGCCGACGAGAAGCGCGTCCAGACGGCAGGAGCTCGAGGGCATCGGGTAGCCCAGTGGAGTTGATGAGGGTGGCAGAAAGAAGCCATCAGACCTCCAGGTCCTCCACCCCCCCCACCAACCCTGAGCAGACAGGTGGCTCCCTCCCCACCTTCAACAGAAGAGTCAAGTTTTCTTTTCTAAAGAAACAGACCCAGGGAGGCTCCAGAACAGAGGCACAGAGGATGGCAAGAATGAGATGCCGAACACAATAAAGGGATTCAGGGAAATTCCAAATATAGACCCCCTAGGAAACTTCTCCTGAAAGTTAATTAGAAATAAGTTTAGTTTAGGAACATATCAGCCTTGTGGCCGCCCAGGAACAGACTAGAGGGCCCTTGTCTGGAGAAAACAAAAAAGCAGGAAAAACTCAATAGGAGGATCTGAAGATAAAGTCAAAATCTCCAAAAGCCAAAAAAAAAAAAAAAAATTTTTTAAATAGGAAGAATAAAACATGAAATTAAGGACTCAATGCATTGGTGAAAGGTCATCATTGGAAAAGAGACCAGAGACAATGGAAGGAAAAAAAGTTTCCAAAATGATAATAATAATAATAACAACATAAGACCATTTCCTGGAACTACAGATTCCCAGATTATAAGGCTCCACAAAGAATTCACACAATGAATGAACCCCACCTCTGCCTCCAAAGTCCCTAACTGAAGAGTTTTAGAATACTAGTGATGAAAAGATCCTGACCAGGTGGAGTGGCTCACACCTGTAATCCCAGCACTTTGGGAGGCTGAGGAGAGAGGATTTCTTTTTTTTTAATTAATTAATTAATTAGTTTTTTTTTTTTTTTTGAGACGGAGTCTCACTCTGTCACCCAGGCTGGAGTGCGGTGGTGCGATCTCGGCTCACTGCAAGCTCCACCTCCCGGGTTCACGCCATTCTCCTTCCTCAGCCTCCCGAGTAGCTGGGACTACAGGTGCCCACCACCACACCCGGCTAATTTTTTGTATTTTTAGTAGAGACGGGGTTTCATCATGTTAGCCAGGATGGTCTCGATCTCCTGACCTCGTGATCTGCCCGCCTCGGCCTCCCAAAGTGCTGGGATTACAAGCGTGAGCCACCGTGCCTGGCCAGAGAGAGGATTTCTTTTGAGACGAGCCTAAGCAACATGGTGAGACTGCTTAAACCCAGGAGGTCCAGGCTGCAAAGAGCCATGACCTCACTATATTCCAACCTGGGTGACAGAGTGAGACCCTGTCTCAAAAAGAAAAGAAAATTGCTGGACGTGGTAGTTCACACCTGTAATCCCAACACTTAGGAAGGCCAGGGCATGTGGATCACCTGAGGTCAGGAGTTTGAGATCAGCCTGACCAACATGGCGAAACCCCGTCTCTATTAAAAATACAAAATTAGCTGGGTGTGGTGGAGGGCGCCTGTAATCCCAGCTACTTGGGAGGCTGAGGCAGGAGAATCGCTTGAATCTGGAAGACAGAGGTTGCAGTGAGCCGAGGTCATACCATTGCACTCCAGCCTGGGCAACAAGAGCAAAACCCCATCAAAAAAAGAAAGAAAGAGAGAGGGAGAGAAAGAGAGAGGGAGGGAGGGAGGGAAGGGGAAAAAATAGAAAAGGAAAGAAAAGAAAATAGTCCTGTACTATCCCGGAGAGGGAAAAAAAGAAAAAAAAACAGAACAGTTTACATATAAATTTCTGATTCTCAATAAAAGTAGAAGACTAAGAGACGATGTCTGCAAACTTCTAAGTGTGTTTCACCCCAGAATTCTACGCTCTGTCAGATTATCAGTAAAGTAGGAGAGTAGGGGAAAAAATCACATTTCCACTCAACAAGGTCTTTACATATCTACCTGCCAGACCCCCTTCTCTGGAAGCTATTGCCAGCTGTGTTTTGGGCTCTTCTCTCGTGAGTCATTCTGGAGGGAATAAGTCATTCTCGTGTGCTGTTCCCAAAATGAGGGAATGACTCAGGAGAGAAGAGGACTTGGATCCAGGAAATGGAATGCCTTCATCCTACAAAGAGGAAGGAAGTTCACCATGTGTCAGGCATGGGTCTAGACTCTTGGAGACAGTGGGGAAGAAGAGGCCCCCCACTCCCAGATCCCAGAAGACAAACCACACAGAAGACAGGCAAGTAAATGACATGGATACGCAAAGTTGGTGTTAAAACAACGGAGGCGAGAGTGGGATTTGTATCGACCCCTCAACTGCCTTAGTTGATGGAGAGAGAAAAATCCTCCCATAGTCTCCCTGCTGGAACAGATGTGATAAGTTTGACTGTGAAATCCAGTTAGGTTAAGTGCACAACAGAGGATTAAAAACAACTGGCCAGGCGCGGTGTCTCACGTCTGTAGTCCCAGCACTTCGAAAGGCCGAGGCGGGTGGATCATCTGAGGTCAGCAGTTTGAGACCAGCCTCGCCAACATGGTGAAACTCCGTCTCTACTAAAAATACAAAAATTAGCCAGACGTGGTGGCACACGTCTGTAATCCCAGCTACTCGGTAGGCTAAGGCGGAAGAATCACTTGAACCCAGGAGGCAGAGTGTGCGGTGAGCAGAGATCGCGCCACTGCACTCCAGCCTGGGCGACAAGAGCAAAACTCCGTCTCAAAAACAAAAACAAAAACAAGCAAAGAAGGAAATTCAGTTAGGCAACTTCTCCCGGTGCCTATGCTGCCCCACACTTTCTGTAGTAATTTAGAGCTTACTGCCTGGTTTTACTTCCTAGGCAGTGGCACTCACTAGGGAATGCCTGGAGTCAGAAATGTGGCTCTGAATTCTTTTTTTGTTGTTGTTGAGACAGGGTCTCATTTTGTCACCCAGGCAGGAGTTCAGTGGCACAATCATACCTCACTCCAGCCTTGACCTCCCCAGGCAACTACAGGCACAACCCATCATGTCTAGCTAATTTTTTTTTTTTTTTTGGTATTTTTTTTGTAGAGATAAGGTCTCACCATGTTGCTCAGGCTGGTTTCGAACTTCTGGGCTCAAGTGATCTACCCACCTCGACCTCCCAAAGTGTTAGAATTACAGGCGTGAGCCACTGTGCCCAGCCTCGGGCGAGCTGCTGCTTAGCCACTCAGATCATATCCCTGCATCTTCAAATGGGAACAATGACTCACACTGGAGCCCAAACACTCCAGGCCAAACACCCCAGGTGTCACCGATGCCTCCACCCAATCTGCATTCTCAGGCAGTGACGGGAGGGTGGCATTCACTGCACCAAAGCAATTGCCGGGTGCATTCCAGGCTTAAGGACACAGACTTTCAAGAAGTCCTATGCTGGGCCGAGCGCAGTGGCTCACACCTGTAATCCTAGCTTTTTGGAAGGCCAAGACAGGCGGATCACTTGAGGTCAGAAGTTCGAGATCAGCCTGGCAAACATGGTGAAACCCTGTCTCTACTCAAAATACAAAAATTAGCCAAGCATGGTAGCACACGCTTATAATCCCAGCTACTAGGGAGGCTGAGGCAGGAGAATCGCTTGAACCCAGGAGGAGGAGCTGCAGTGAGCCAAGATCGCACCACTGTACTCCAGCCTGGGCAACAGAGTCAGATCCTGTCTCAAAGAAAGAAAAGAAGTCCTGTGCTGGATGTCAGGGGTACAGGCGTGGAAAGGGACTGCCCGTTCTGGAAGCTCTCTCTTTAGGATGTGGACAGGGCAGAGCAACCCAACACCAGACCTGCCTGACCTGAAAGGCTGGAAGCGGCACATCGAAAGTTTGACCCCTCCTTCCAACCACTCCACTGAAGTCCTGCAGGGGCTTTCCCAGTCCCGCTCACCTTGGCACCCAGGTCCCCAGGTGTGGCTTCCCTGTCAGCCTGAAGCACAGCACAGTGGCCTCCCCCTCAAACATGCCACTCATCCCTTGTGGTCTTCCCTCAGCTCTTCTCGCCAGCCCTGCCTGCCCACACACTGTCCCTGCTCCCGGGAATGCCCTCCCGATCTCAATGCCAAGTCTCAGCTAAAAAGCCACTTCCCCTGGATCCCTCCCCGTTGCCCCCGTCTTGCTCCCACAACACAAGCGCTCCCCATCTCTATACTCATCGCACTTGCACAGGCTTGCTCCGCTCGAGGCACCCTTTCCCCGGAGCCACTCACCTGTCTGTCCCTGGGCTGCCTCCTGTTCAGTGCCAGGCACCAAGCAGGCACTTCACAAAGATTTGGGGAATTCAACTGAACGGAGGCACAGAGCAGCATGGTGGTGCAGAGAACAACGGGTGACTTCAGGGAGCTGGTTCAAGTCCTAGCTCTGCCATGGTGCGGGGACCTCACTTCCTTGTCTACACAGCAGGGGCGGACCGGCCCACCCACAGGCCCCTCCTACCTCTAACACTCAAAAGAATATGGCAGGGGAATAGACATCTGTTTGCTTGCTTGACTCTGAGCTAGGATTTTATGGTGAGGCGGGTCGCAGCAGTGGCAGAGTCTAGCATTTATCAATGGTGGTCCCCGGGCCCTGTCCTCGGTGCTGGGGACAAAGGACAAAGACGAGGCTCTTGTTCTGAAGGCCCTCAGCCTGAATCCTAGCATTCCAAAGCATCTCCCACCACCTGCTTCTCACTTTCCCCTGAGGCCCTTCTCCACCCAGGAGGCTCTGGCCAACGTCATCCAGAGGAGACCTTGAGGAGAGAAAAAGTCAGAAAGCCAAACCCAAGGGTCACGCCCAGCAATGGCTTTCTAGGTGGGCCTGGGAAATTCAAGTCAAAGAGAATCCATCTTAGAATCCTCCCTTGCCACCTCCGGAGAGGAGGGTGGCAGAGAAAAGGCCGTGCTGTGCCATCTGGGGGGATGTGTGTCTGCGCCCTGAAAGGCCTGTGAATAAACCCATGATGTACATTTTCCAAGCAGTTGTCTGCAAACGCCTCACAGCTCCTGGCCCATGGATTCCAGCTTTTGGAGACGAAGGCTCAAAAACTGGCAACTCACAAGCCGCATCTGCCCGTGGGTATGTTTTGTTTGGCAGGCAAGGTTTTAAATTTTTTAAAAATTAGTTCCAACATTTAAAAATCATCTGGTTTCACATTAAGGATCTAAATGTCCAGCTTCTTTAGAAAAACAGGCAGCACTAGGTGGAATATAAGAGATGCCTTGGGAAGAAAGGCCCCAGGGTCCCAAGGCAAGCAAAGATCTAGGAGATCGCCATCAGTAAGTTGGCGGAGACAGAACCTGAAGCAAGGGAAGCCCAGACAGCCACAGGCCCTAAACCACCAGCCGCAGCCTGTGCAGGCAGACAGAATGTCCTTAGCTGGCCCCAGTCCCCAACACTCCCTCCAGCCTCACACCAGGAGCCTCCTTCATTCACATGACTTACTGGCTCCTGCAGGCATTTAGCCAGCAGCCTCTTAGAAAGATGCAGGGCCAGGCCTCATAAACCCACCCAGGGCACAGGCCTCCTTCCCCATAATCTCATCTACCCTCCCTTATACCCAACCAGCTGACACTGGGAATGAAGGCAAAGAGGACGCATCTACCCAGGAGAACAGTCAGAGACTTTCTCCACAGGATGCTCACCAACTATGGGAAGCTCAGTACGACATATTGAATAATTGACAATCCCTCTGATGCACCTTGTGCTTTTATCATTACGCATCTACGTATCGTTTTACCATGTCCAAAAATGATAACATGTCAAAATCTGGGAGAAACATCCTCATAACTTATTCATGAAGAAAAAAATTCTATGCAATGAGGAACACTAAATGACATAAATTGTTATTTTTATTTTAAATATTGATCCATTTGAACAGCTCCATTTAAAAATGGGCTAACTCACCCTTTTAAAAAGATTAATATTTGATCAACACAAGGTACCTAATCTGAAGCTTAAATCTTCCCCCAAAACTAATATGAATTGGGGTTCTTTAGGCAACTTCGGAATCTATTGGAAGGGCAGTTGTAAGTTTGTAAGGAAAGGGAAAACAATTATCAAGAAAGTGATTACAGAGTGGAGGAAATACCTGTGTCTTGTCTTGCATTCTCTTAAAATCTTCACATGCTAGCCAAAACAAAACATTTTCTTCACTGAATTCTTTTTTTAAAAATTCCTGTGGATACAAAGAAAAAGAGTCACACAGTATTCTACTTCTAAAAAAAAATAATAAAACAAATGGCATTTCCCTTCAAAGACTGATTTGGCAAAATTCAACAGAGGAGCATGGTCCAATTACCCGTCGAAAACTCTACTCTGAAAAGCAAATGAGTATGTTTAATGTTAAAGCTATAATTTCATATGCATTTGACCTTAATGGTTTTGACTTTGTAAAGAAGAGTACAAATGAAGCAGGAATTTACTCATATTTCTAAGCTGACAATAAATTACCAAAAAGTAAATTAAAGTGGAAGATATATTGGTTCCTTCCAGAGAGTGTTTAAACAAAGTACATGCCTCTAAACTCAGGCTCTTTTTTTTTTTAACAAAAGAAAAGAAAACACATTACGCATGTGTAAAGATACCATGACACAAACTATTTTAAGTTGGAGGTATGTGTGTTTTCTTACGGCCGGTCTTGGGCAGTCCATGGCACCGCCAGCTACTCTGCTGTGCAGAGACCTCCTGAGTTGCAAACACTGCTCACAGTGGCCTGGTGACCAGGAACTAGAAGCCTAGTACCACATGCCACTCCCTCCCTGGGAGCCCCAACAGGGACCAACTGCATGAGGACTCATCCTATTCCTGACCCAAGACTTAAAGACAGAAGTGACCAGGACTCATTCTTGAAATACACATGCGGTCTTCCATCTGGCACTGGGGGCTTCTGCTGGTCAGAAAAGTTATTTCTAGATGGCATCAACAGTTCCCCATCCATCAGCCCTGCTCTCGGAGGTCCCTTGGCCAAGTTCGCATTGCCAGTCTCTCTCAGTCTGTCAACAATGCATTCTGAGAGTCCTCCAAGCATGAGAGAACAAGCCTCCACATCAGAGAGACCCAGAGCTGGGAATTCCTCATACAGACTCCACCAATGGGCATGGTACCTTCTCTCTCCTCCCACCCTGTACCCCTCCCACCTCACTACACAAAAACCAGAAACAGGCTGCCCATCTGTGACAGCGTTGCCAACACAGTCATGACAGATGAGAAAGGCTCACCCTCAAGCTGGGATTGACAGTACTAAACTCTTAAGCTGGCATAGAGAGCGCTAAGCTGATACACAATGCTGAACTGGCCTATTTCTCCCCTGCGTGCATCAGAACTTCCGCACACACGGCATCCATCCCGATTAACAAAGAAAAAGACAAACCCTAAATCTTTTCACGCCTTCCGGGTCTTCCAGCAGATTCTCCAGGGATGCCGCCCATTTGGCTGTGCTCTTGAGGCTCTGGTGGCTGCTGCTGGAGCTACCATCGCTGTCGTGGATGTCTGCAAAGCAAAGTTCAGATTGCATATGTGGCCAAAATATGCTGTCATTTTAAGAAATCTGCATGCAATGGTCGGTACTGCCATCACCATCACTACTGACATAAACCAAGTTATGGCTCAGGCTCTGTTCTAGGTGCTTAACATGATGGACTCACTCTTGTCACACAACCCTGTAAGGCAGGTACTACTATTTCCTCCATTTTACAGATGGGGTAAACTGAGGCTCAGAGGGATGAAGGGACCTGCCATTTCCCACCAAATCCTTCCCCTACTCTGGTGTACACTGGCCAATTCGGAGGCAGCCCTCAAGTCGCCCTCAAACCCTCCTCCCAGAGACCCGTGATTCAACAGCAACTGCTTCCCCATGGCGCTTTGTGCACAGACTTACAATTATGATGCTCTGTTGTGACTATTTACATGACTGACTCTCACTAGTCTGAAGGTTCCTATATGTCCTCATCTTGTACCTCTAGCACCTGGCGTAGAGATTAAAAAACTCATTGCAGGATTGGACCCACATGATGGTGCAAAATGTCAGAGGGTTGCCAGAATACCCAGGTGTCAAGATAAATGTCATTTCAGGCAATAGCTTTGTTTGTTTGTTTGTTTTTGACAGAGTCTCACTCTGTCACCCAGTCTGGAGTGCAGTGGCACAATCTCGGCTCACTGCAACCTCTGCCTCCCAGATTCAAGCAATTCTCCTGCCTCAGCCTCTCGAATAGCTGGGATTATAGGCAATTAGCAACACACCCAGCTAATTTTTGTACTCTTAATAGAGACAGGGTTTCACCATGTTGGTCAGGCTGGTCTCGAACTCTTGACCTCAGGTGATCCGCCCACCTCAGCATCCCAAAGTGCTGGGATTACAGGCATAAGCCACCGCGCCCGGTTCCTCAGGCAATACTTTTTTAAAAAATCAAAATTTGTGCTAAAAAAATCCAGATGAACAAAATACCCAAATTTTCCAAATTTTAAATAAAGACAGGATCAATTATACTGATTTTTCCTTTTGCTTCAGGGTCCAATATGGCTCAGCATTACACTGTTATTTTTTCCTGACTTTATTTAAACTTCAGATATTTTGTTCATCACGGATGTTTTTGCATTCATTTTGATCTTTTAAAACACTGCATTAAATGTCATTTATAGGCTGGGTGCCCTGGTTCACACCTGTAATCCCAGCATTTTGGGAGGCCAAGGCAGGCAGATCACCAGAGGTCAGGAGTGAAACCTCATCTCTACTAAAAATACAAAAATTAGTTGGGTGTGGTGGCACGTGCCTGTAATCCCAGCTCCTTGGGAGGCTGAGGCAGGAGAAATGCTTGAACCCAGGAAGCGGAGGTTGCAGTGAGCCAAGATCACACCACTGCACTCCAGCCTGGGCGACAGAGCAAGATTCCATCTAAAAATAATGACAATAAATACATAAATAAATATCATTTATCCTGATGCCTGAGGTTTATGGCAACCCTCTTACATTTTGGTACACAGAGAAAATGGATGAAAACTCTTTGTATCTGCACATCTTCCACTGCACTCTCTGACTCAAGACACTGAGAAGTCTCCTGTGGGGGACGGGCAATCTCCAAATAACACACTTCAGCCACTTGCCTGCCTGTGGGAGGAGGGAACAATGAAAGCATGCTTCATTCTATGGCATGTGATCCCTTCCTGGAGTCAAGGAAGAACCATGGAATGTCACTTCAGATGGGGCCAGGTTCAAAACCCAGTTTCCTGGCCAGGCACGGTGGCTCACACCTGTAATCCCAGCATTTTAGGGGGCTGAGACGGGTGGATCACTTGAGGTCACGAGTTCAAGACCAGCCTGGCCAACATGGTGAAACCCCGTCTCTACTAAAAATACAAACATTAGCCGGGTGTGGTGGCGGGTGCCTATAGTCCCAGCTCCTTGGGAGGCTGAGGCAGGGGAATCACTTGAACCTGGGAGGCAGAGGTTGCACTGAGCCAAGGTCGTGCCACTGCACTCCAGCCTGGGCGACAAGAGCGAAACTCCAACTCAAACGAAACGAAACAAAACAAAAACAGTTTCCCCGATTCAAAACTATAGGATCTTGGGCAAAATTCTTGTGTATATTTGAAAATCATCCCCCATCTCTTGGGTTATCATAAGGATTCAAAAATGGAAGCACATTAGGTACCTAGCAGCACACCTGGGACACAGTAGACGCTCAACAAATGTGAGTTCCTTTCTCCCCATCCCTAAAATAACCATCTATCAAGCAAACTACTTCCATAACTAACACTTTTTCCCCACTGATTTTTTTTTAAACTAGAGACATATTTCTATTAAAAGAAAAGTTCGAATCTAGGAGAAAACAAACTTTTAATTAAGAAATCAGCAAGGCCAGGCGTGGTGGCTCACTCCTATAATTCCAGCACTTTCGGAGGCCGAGGCAGGCAGATCACAAGGTCAAGAGATCGAGGCCATCATGGCCAAAATGGTGAAACCCTGTCTCTACTAAAAATACAAAAATTAGCCAGGCATAGTGGTGGATGCCTGTAATCCCAGGTACTTGGGATGCTAAGGCAGGAGAAACGCTTGAACCCGGGAGGCGAAGGTTGCGGTGAGCTGAGATCGCGCCACTGCACTCCAGCCTGGTGACAGAGCAAGACTCTGTCTAAATCAATCAATCAATCAATCAATCAGCAAAGCAAATCACTTCTACATATTTTTTTTTTAAATAAAGTCTCCTAAATATTAATTGCTGCAAACAGCTAGGGGGCCACACAGCTAAAAATGGTTTTGGAGAAAATCTGTATCAGAGCACACTGGACTTACTTAATAGTGACAGCTCCTGTGATCTCTGATGTTCTATGGGGGGTCAAAATACACGTTGATTTCTTGATCCCCTGGGACTCCGAATCCAAGCACTTGGGGAAACTACCAGGATTTTAGACATTCACCAGATGACATGAGCTAAATTAGAACCAGGCTGGCTGGGCACAGTGGTTCACGCCTATAATCCAAACACCTTGGGAGGCTGAGACAGGAGGATGGCTTGATCTCAGGAGTTCAAGACCAGCCTGAGCAACATAGTGGGACCCCATCCCTATAAAATATTTAAAAACTAGGCTGGGCACGGTGGTTCACACCTATAACCCCAGCACTTCAGGAGGCCCAGGTGGGCAGATCGCTCGAGCTCAGGTGTTCGAGACCAGCCTGGGCAACATAGTGAAATCCTGTGTGTACAAAAAATACAAAACTTAGCTGGGCATAGTGGCATGCTCCTTTAGTCCCAGCTATTGGACAGACTGAGGCGGGAGGATAGCTTGAGCCCAGGAGTTCAAGGCTGCAGTGATCCATGATTGGGCCACTGTACTTCAGCCTGGATGACAGACCCTGTCTTAATCAATCAATCAATCATCAATAAAGCAGAAACCCAGAAACCCGGCAGGGACCATGCTTCAATGCTCATTGGCAATAGAGTACATAAGAGAATTATTTGGGGCAAATCCTTTCCTCTAACCATGAAGCAAACTCACTTAAACACATCACCAAATGGAGCTGATGCTTTTCTAAAGTGACCCTCCAGTTCGTGGATATTAAATTAGTTCCCTGTTCTCTTCGTAAATGCCGCAGTGGCAAGCTCCTGAACACTGAGTTTCTTTCCAACAAAGTATAAATCCAATTAAAAGATCATTATTACAAGAAATTTCTGCAGCAGGGTTCATTCTGCCAAGCATTCCACTAATTTACTCTTCTGCTCTTTGCCCAGAGAATACAGTTTGACAATTTACTCCATTTCCCCAGCAGATCTTCTCTTAAGTAAATAAATCTAGAGACACAAGTTCACTGTTCCAGGAACAATCTAGGCAGCTGCAAATTTCTCTTGCCATGGCAGAACCACTTTGGCCATAAGTTTTCAACCTTGGTCTGAAAGGATTCCAAAACTCTGGACACTCTTTTCCATAATAAACCAGACCATGTTTGGGTTTTCACTGTCACACCGTCTTGCAAATAAATACACACAGTAGATTACCATTTAGCCAACAGAGTGTCTGAGAGTTAAGAGAGTTGACCTCACTGTTAGACAATCGCCAACCCCCACCCTTTATTTCATACTCTAATCATTTTTGCATATTAGGTTTATGTGTCTGTTTTCATTTGAACAAAAAGTTTTACAACTCAAAGCACACTAATGTGGTCCAGCCCCACCTCCCCCATCACCTCATTTTATAGACTGGGAAGCAAAAATCCAGAAGATAAAATGACCTAACCAAGGTGATGCAGTTAATGAATCACGGGATGGACCCAATATGGGGACCTATGTGGGACATCAGCTGTCCTCACCAGGGCCATGTCTGCAGAATCCCAGGGCTCCTGGGAACACAGTTAGAAAACCGATGGGCCCTTCCATTCCACTGTCACCTGGGCTAACATCTCCCTTATATCACATGTCATGAAATACATTTACAATGGACACTATTACAGAAGAGCATGGAATTTTCAGGGGCGGGTCAGAAAGTACACCGAGATGGAGCTGCTCTTTATAGCCATGGGTATTGGTTTTCTGGCTTTGGTGCTCTAGATAAAGAGTAATTCCTTCTTGCTTTTGCCCACCTTCTGTCCCCATAAGTGGCATAGAAGATCCTTCTATCTGAGATACCCACTCTCTATCTGTCATAAGTTTTTATTTTCTCCAGAAATGTTGGTTTGAATTTTTCTAAGACTTCCTGATTGTCTTTCGAGTTGAAGGCTTTTGGCTATTGCACCCCACCCTTCTAAAATCCATCTTGACTGATATCGGTATAGACAGAGCTTGATGAGACAGCATTTGCAAACTCCACTCACCGAGTGGCATCTCTCTTTTCCAAGTCGCTATCCCCAGCCTCCAATATGACTGAGCAGACAGGGATAGCCCTTAGGCCGAGGGCACTTCCGCAACTCAGGGTCCCCTGCTCAGGGGACACACTAAGTAATGAATTCCTAAGCCATCTCAGCTCACTTTAAAAGGTACGACCTGCCAGCGGGGTGGCTC